TGGATCCTGATTTTTCTCAAAACGCACGATGAAACAAGTTCATTTTCCTTATTTCCAGCAAACAGTTTTGATTTCACACCGTGCTTAAGATGTTATCTATTTTCTCCTTGAAAAGGTAAGTCAGAAAGTATTAGAATCTGTTTATTAAAGGCATTATATTTTGTTTTGTTTTTTTAAAAAAACAGTTGTTAACTCTTCAGGTTATGGATCCTGGTGTCAAGGCCTGGAAGCCATCTTTTGCATTGGGCCTTCAGGCCTGCCACATTTCCTACTGTGGGAAATTGGGAGGGGGGATTGTATGGAGCAGTGGTGATACATAGTAGTCAAAATAACATTCTTTTCTCAGAGAGTCAAGGACATTTTGCCATGCACCTGGAGGGCTGGAACTGGGAGGCCTTTCCAGTTGGGATGGTGCTGTGATTGGAACATGGGATGGACTTGTGGGTGCTGGGCAGAGACTTGGACTTTCTGTTGGGTGGGGAAAACCTGGAAGCTCTCAGATTCAGGTTTTTCCTGATGTGCCAATATGACATCTCTAATAAAGTGGAATTTTGAGGAATTTCTAGCCTCGGAGTCTTCTTTCGTTGGGGGTGTTACTTAGAATCCTGACACCTGGTTTTCTCAAAATGCACTAGACAAGTCTATTTTCCCTATTTCCATCCAACACTTTTGATCTTAATAGAATAGAATAGAATAGAATAGAATAGAATAGAATAGAATAGAATAGAATAACAAAGTTGGAAGGGACCTTGAAGATCTTCTAGTCCAACCCCCTGCTTAGGCAAGAAACCCTACACCACTTCAGACAAATGGTTATCCAACATCTTCTTAAAAACTTCCAGTGTTGGAGCATTCACAATTTCTGGAGGCAAGTTGTTCCACTGATTAATTGTTCTCACTGTCAGGAAATTTCTCCTTAGTTCTAGGTTGCTTCTCTCCTTGATTGGTTTCCACCCGTTGCTTCTTGTTCTTCCCTCAGGTTCTTTGGAGAAGAGCTTGACTCCCTCTTCTTTGTGGCAGCCCCTGAGATATTGGAAGACTGCTATCATGTCTCCCCTAGTCCTTCTTTTCATTAAACCCAGTTCCTGCAACTGTTCTTCATATTTTATCTTACACTGCACTTAAGATGTTATCTATTTTCTCCTTGAAAAGGTAAGACAGAAAGTATTAGAATCTGTTTATTAAAGGCATTTTTTTTTCCAATCAGCCAAGATTACATTTGTATGATGTTCTTCAAACTTGATAGTCAGGGTAGTTATATGCAGTTCACATGTTTCCCACTGGAACACATGAACATGTACCCCAAAATGCTTATCTTTAAACAAGAGCTTTCATCAGATGCTCCGAGCCCCAGATCTGAGATCTCTACCTTGTACAGGTAGTCCTCAACTTACAACTGAGCCCAAAATTGATGTTGCTAAGTGAGAGTTATTAAGTGCATTTTGCCCCATTTTATGACTTTTCTTTTCACGTTTGTTAAGTGAGTCTCTGCCATTGTCAAATTAAGTCGTTAAGTGAATCTGGCTTTCCCCGTTTACTTGGCTTGTCAGAAGGTCGTAAAAGGGGGTTATGTGACCCCGGGGGTTACTGCAATCATCATAAATGTGAGTCAGTTGTCAAGCACCCAAATGTAAATCCCGTGACTAATGGGGATGCTGCAACGGTCATAAGTGTGGAAAAAATGGCCATAAGTCACTTTTTTTCAGTGCAGTTGTAACTTCAAATGGTCACTAACTGAACTGTTGTAAGTTGAGGACTGTTGTGGCCCACCAGCGGCCTGCGCGGATCGTTGCTGATCCCAACGACGAGGAGGCTGGTGTGGTGTTGCGCCAGCAGCCTGTGCAGCCGAAGCTCGAGTTAGACAGCGAGGAGGTTGAAGAAGATGTGGTGCCAGAGGCAGGGATTCAACCAGGGCCTTCAGAACCTCCAGAAGCTCCTTTAAGTGAAGAGGACAAAGTGGAGGAGCCTCTTCTCAATGCTCGAGCATGCAGAGCTGCCAAAAGGCAGAAGTGGTTACTCAGGAGGAGGTCTCCTCAAGAGTAAGGCTTGGGGCCAATTGGCCACTTCCTTAGCCTATTTAAGTTTGCACACAGCTTGTAAAAAGCTGCAGGAAACAACGTGTGTTCGTCTGTTCGTTTGCTGATCATTGAATTTGAATTTTCTCTGCAAACCTGGCTTCTGGGCTTTCTGCCAACTCTAGTAAGACTCTATCTTATCTGTGGAATTTCTGGCAGGTTGTTGAGAACATTTTATTAACAGCCTGCATTTGCAAAAAGACTGTGTTTTGAAGTAAACTGAGTTTTGTTCGAAGTTTGTGTATGCTGCATTCTTTGGGATCCGTAGCTGGGGCAGAACAAGGACTGCCTGTACTTAAGCAGGCTAGCCGAGCCCAAATCCTGCAATCGTTCTTCTAATGTTTTAGTCTCCAGACCTAATTCTTACTAATATCCCACCCCAAACAAATGATTGTCTAATCTTTTCTTGAAAACCTCCAGTAATGGAGCACCCACAACTCCAGGAGACAAGTTGTTATATTGATTACTGTCAGGAAATTCCTCCTTATTTCTAGGTTGGGACCCCCTCAGAGGAGCTTCCACCCATTGCTTGTTGCCCTGTCCTTAGATGCTTTGAAGAATAACCCAACAAACCAACAGCCCTTCATGTTGTTGTGGCCCATCAGTGGCCTGTGCAGTTAGTAGCTGATTCCGACAGTGAGGAGGTTGGTGTGGTGCTGCACCAGCAGCCTGTGCAGTTGGCGCTCAAGTCAGACAATGAGGAGGCTGGAGAAGATGTGGTGCCAGAGGCGGGGATTCAGCCAGGGCCTTCAGAACCTCCAGAAGCTCCCATAAGTGAAGAGGAAGAAGAGGAGGAGCCACTTCTCGATGCACAAGCATGCAGAGCTGTTAAAAGGCAGGAGTGGCTCCTCAGGAGGAGGTCTCCTCGAGAGTAAGGCTTGGGGCTAATTGGCCATTCCCTTAGCCTATTTAAGGAAGAACGCCAACTGAAGCAATTTACAGGGAACAACTTCGTTCACATACCTTTGTGTCTTGTCTTGCTTATCTTATCTTATCAGCTTCCTGCAAATTGCTTCTGAGCATTCTGCCAACCACAGTAAGATTACGGTGATCTGAAATACTGTGCCTCAGAACTGAGTTATTATTCTTTGGATTCTTTTAATGGCTGTTAATGAAGTTAAATTAATAGCCCTTGTTCAGAAAAGACTGATTTAAACTGTACTTGTGTTCGAACAACTACTAAGAAAGCTCATTAGTAGTCCTTAATTAGTAAACTAAGGTTTGTACGGACTTAGTGTGTGCTGCGTTCTTTGGGGTCTGTAGCTGGGGCAGAACACATGTACTGGGAGATGGCTATCACGTCTCCCCTAAACCTCCTCTTGTATGTTGCGTACCCCATCAGTTAAAGAATTCCAACGGGCAGGGTCCAAGAAGAGAACCTTCTGTGACATTGTCCCAACCCTTTGGAACACTCTCCCCATGGAGATGAGGCAAGCCCCCGTCCTCCTGGCCTTCGAAAAGGAGCTAAAACATGGGAAGCAGCAGTGGGATTCAATTTTTTTTACTACTGATTCTGTGGGTGTAGCTTGGTGGGCGTGGCAGGGGAAGGATACTGCAAAATCCCCATTCCCTCCCCACCCCACTAACCTGCTTTCCAGCTCCATCCTCCTGTGCAGGGCAACAAAGACCATGCTGATCAGCTGGGCCGCAGTGAATAGATCAATTGGATGCCCAAGCCTTAAAGGCTAGGCCTTCCTGCAGCCCCCTGGGAGCAAAAATGAGCTGTTGGGGGGGGGGCATACCACACCCCCAAGCCCTGTTTTGGGCCTAGTGGGCCTCCCTGCACTTACCTGGGAGCCAAAACAAGGTGCATGATGACTCCTGGAAGGGGCAGGAGGGCGGGGCCAGCCAGAGGTGGTATTTGCCAGTTCTCCGAACTACTCAAAATATCTACTACCGGTTCGCCAGAACTGGTCTGAACCAGCTGAATACCATCTCTGATGGGAAGCCCAGAGAAGTACAGAACTGTGAGGCTGATTAGTCTTTTGAAGGTCCTCCCCTTCTCTTTAACTACCTTTAATAACATTGAATCACTCCTGCCTTTTCCTATTTTTTAAGCTTTTATGTTGTATGTTGTACTTTATATTTTCACACAACTGTCTTCCAACTACTTGAGCAACTGTCACAGAGAAGGGGGGGGGGGTCAACCTATTCTCCAAAGCACCTGAGAAGCAATGGGTGGAAGAGGGTTAAAGAGAGATCCAACTTAGAAGGAAGGAGAACTTGTCTGACAGTGCAAAAAATTAATCCACGGAATAGTTTGCCTTCCGGAATTTTGGATGCTCCATCACTGGAGGTTTTCAAGAAGAGGCTGGAGAACCATTTGACAGGGATAATATAAGGTCTTCTGTCCTAGGAAGGGAGTCGGAATAGAACACCTCCGAGGCAGTGGTGAAATCCAATTTTTTTTTACTACCAGTTCCGTGGGCATGGCTTGGTGGGCGGGGTGTGGCTTGGTGGGTGTGGCAGAGGAAAGATACTGCAAAATCTCCATTTCCACCCCACTCCAGGGGAAGAATACTGCAAAATCTCCATTCCCACCCTACTCTAGGGCCAGCCAAAGGTGGTATTCTCTCTTTGGTCAGTTTCCATCCATTATTCCTTGTCTGGCCTTCAGTTGGAAGGCCACCTGAAGCTGGAAAACAGCTTGACCCCCTCCTCTCTGTGGCAGCCCCTTAAATATTGGAAGATGCTATCATGTCTCCCCTGGTCCTTCTCTTCACTAGACCAGCCATACCCAGTTCCTGCAACCGTTCACCGTATGTTTTAGCCTCCAGTCCCCGAATCCTCCTGGTTGCTCTTCTCTGCACTTTTTCTAGAATCTCCACATCTTTTTTATAGTGTGGTGATCAGAACTGGATGCAGTATTCAATCAAAGGTCCACCTGATGAATATCGGTTAAAAAAAAACCATCTCAGAGGGGAATGGAATGAATGAAAGAAGCAGTTTATTCTGATCTTACACACATGGGACAACATACAGAGCCAACCACAAAAGACATACAAATCCTCTGACACCATGCCTTCTCCCCAAAAACTTCTATTGAATGTACAACATCATTAACAAATTGGCTATTGAGATACAACAGATCTTCAGACATGAATAAGCTCCTTACTTGTGGTTTTTTTTTTTAAAGTTTTTTCTTTCAATCTCTACTTAGACAAATATTATTTTACATGTTTAATACAGGACGGTATCCTTAACAAATTTCAAGATATTCACATGAAGGACCAAGTACTTTATAAAACAGCAATATTATTTCCCACCCGCCCCCTCTTATTTCTTAAAGGCATGAGTATATTTGTTTTAAGTCCCATTGAGTTCTCAGTGGGTCAACAACTGGTACATGGCGAGACAAATCAGGGGTGGTCTTCCCTTCCCTTCGCTACCGTTTCGTAAACCACTCGCACGCGTCACTTCCGCACATGCACAGGGCCTTCTGCTCATGCACAGGGCCTTCCGTGCATGCACAGGGCCTTCGGCGCATGTGTAGAGCATCAAAAACATGGATAAATAGGATGTGATTACATCCAGGCGGGTGGGTGGAGCCACCCTCAGCCGCCGCTACCAGTTTGCCCGAACCAGATAGAACTGGCTAAATACCACCACTGAGACAAATGCTTATTTGTGTGTGTGTGTGTTTTTTTTTTTAAGGATAAAATGAAAAAAAGAATAGAAACTTATTTACAAGTAGCCTAACATTAAAAGTAGTGTTCCTTCCCACGCTGACAGCTGTCAACACCCTTGCAGGGGGAAAAAAAATATAAAACACTACTTTCAAACTACCAAAAGAAGTCGGATATCCAATTATTACCCACTGGGAGGCAAAATGACAAATTATCACAACCCTATATTATTATTATTATTTTTTTAAAAAGGAAACGAAGAGATAACAAACAGTTCTGAAGTGATTTTTTTTTTAATTTTTTTGAGTCCAGAAGGAACTCATGGCTAAAACTATCAAGAGACAGTACAAGGAGATTTGGTACTAGGAGATGCTACCGTATTTTCCCAAAAATAAGACCCTGTCTTATATTTTTTTTAACCCTGAAATAAGCGCTTGGCCTTATTGCCGTGTCTCAAAAGCCCGATTGGGCTTATTATCAGGGGAGGTCTTATTTTGGGGAAAACAGGCTAGTTAAGTGTCAAGACAGACATTTCCAAACTGTCTAGCTGTGGAGACCTCCTGTGTGGACCTCTGCACGTTCTCAAGATGTCTGAAGAAAGCTCTTCGCTCTATTTCAGAGGTCTTCAAACTTGGCAGCTTTAAGACGTGTGGACTTCAATTCCAGAATTCTGGGAGTTGAAGTCCACACGTCTTAAAGCTGCCAAGTTTGAAGACCTCTGCTCTATTTCCATGGGTGGCCCTTCAAAGTTTTGGGCCATCTGAACATTGTTAGTCAAGGACTTTGAAGGTCCTCTTAAGACTTCTGCCTCACTGCACACCAGGGAATGTATGTGTCTGTCATTCAGAGACAGTTGCATAGCTGTTGCATTTATACACTTCTGCAAAGGTTAATGTTCTGGTGCTAAAATGGAGGGGGCGGTGTCTCCAAATTTGGAAATTTGAAGAATGGTGGACTTCATCTCCCAGAATTCCTCAACCAGCCATGAAGTCCACCGTTCTTAAAGTCTCCAAGTTTGGAGACCCCCCTCCCCCGTGCTTAAAAAAAAATCTTAACGGGAAATCAGATGAACCCATCTGCACTAAGGATGTGCATCTCCACACCATGTGTAGTTAAGATTTGGGAGAATCTGGGCGTCAACCCATCTGCAATCCACACTTACCTATCAACCCCTTCTCAGAGGCGTCAACATTTATGTGCAGTTGCAGACAAGTCTAAACCAAGCTTTAAATGTGGTCAAAACAGTTAGTAGTAGCCAGCATTCAAAGAGGTTTATTCTCCATAATTTATCTTATCAATGAGGAGTAAGGAACCCCAGAATGCCATTCAAAACTCGCTAGGTCACACCGATATTAATCTTAACGCAACCATTTCTTGAACTCCAATGAAAATAATCCCAATTTATGTGGAGTTCTTGATAGCGGTGTTCCATTATTTCTAGGGCTAAGGATGCCGATATTTAAAATCCATCTTTTCATTAAGAGTGGATTGGAGATTATTTCTGTAAAGGCTGCTTAGGAGTTCTACCGGCCCTGTCAATATTTTGATTTAAACTATTTAGCTCAGTTACTTTAACTATTCAGCTCAGATAATGAGGGAGGAAAGTCACAATGATAGTTAAGGGCCACATAAATTCCTGCCCTTGTTATTATGTCTGGAATAGACATTTAAAAATGGGTGCGGCTTTGATCACATGACTGTGGCTGTCCTCTTGACATTTAACCTCCTCCCCACCGGCCCACCCCACCCCAAGAAAAGGACCACCTTCTCAGCTACTCATGAATTAACCCTTTTTGTGTTTCCTCCGAAAGCTTATTTGAAGCTTTCTAAGTCATCTTTGTAGAATTTACGGGACTTAGACCCACATTCATCTTTACTCTAGTAGGACCACCCTGGAGTAAGCAGTCTGAGGATTTCAAGCCTGGACAGATGTTGGCCTACAAATCTTCTAAAATGGAACAAAAAATCGATTTGAACCCTTCATACACACAAGTTGCATTACAAGTTACCTTTACATAGAGCATTTTAATAAAAAGCATGTCTGAAAATGCCTTAGAATTTATACAAACACCATTATAGCAAACACATCATTCAAAAACCTGGATAAATCACCACCGAAAAAAAAGAAGAACGCCCTGAAAGGCTCCAAGTGGAATTCTTTCAGTAATATTTGTTGCATATTTCATATTCCAGTCTCTTCTGATTCTGCTCTGGCCAATGATGAATCTAGTAACAGCCATTTCTAATTCTTCACCAGAATCCCCATTTTATAGTTCATGTTTGATGGGGCTAATCCAGTCTTGGTTCCTTAAGTTTTGGAGTACTTTGGCTCTCTGGTCAATTAAAATATGGATTTTGGTCAGCTGTGTGTCAGGGTTCAAGAGTTGGCTTGCTGTCAGAGTTCCGATGGATGCCCTCATTAAATCATGAGCCTCGAGCCAAGCTTCAAAAGAAATCCAGTTATTTATTAGGAGCTTCATGTCCGCACGTTCCCAAGTGAAACCAGCTCTGACCCTATGTAATTCACGCCCCAATTATGACCCTGTTTCCCCCCTCCCCCCCAGGGTGTCTCATCAATCACATTCCAACGGAGCTATTTTGTGGGTTGTAGAGGTCACTCCCCTCCAGCTGCTGTAGGTAACCCTGGGATACAGCCTTGAAAGAGATAAGCATGGAATGTGCATCTGTCTTTCGCTGCCTTTTTGCCAGTTTCCTATCCCCCCTGGCCTATGGCAACTCGAGAGCAGGCCAGGGATGCTTTGCGAATTGACATTGTGTCTCCTTGAAATCCATGGGTATGGGACCCTAATCGCACAAATCATTTTTGTCATTTTTTTTTTTGCTTGTAAGGCTAAAGTAACATCTCAGCACCTAAAATTTCACATAAAGGTTGTGCGGCCAAGAAGACGTAGATCAAGGGTGATCAACCTGCACCCTCAAGACCACACATGGTCTCCAAATCTTCTTTTCCTGGTCTTATGACCATGACTGTTGAAAAAAATGACCTCACAGCCTCCTGCCATTTGCAGTTGGGAAACGGATTAAAAATTGCATTGCAAGACCAAAAATAGACATCTGACCCTTAAAAGCGAAGACCCATCCCCGTATGTGAAAAGGTCGCCAACATTTCGTGGGCCTTGGGCTTCCCTAAAAATTGGGTAGTCCTTGCCACCAAAATATTGTCTATCCCTGAATGAACATGCCCTCATTTTAGCAACACTTTTATCTAAGGAACAAGGTTTATGTTCTTGTACATAGGTTGTCTTAAACTCCAAATACAGGCCAATGGAAACTAGGTCAAGATAATTTTATTATTATTTTTTCCATGCATATCTCTAGGGATCCCACCATTCCCTTATTCATACTGCTTTCACAACTGTCTTCTCCAAATCATTCACTAGACATATCTCTTGTAGAATGGCCCATTTCTCAACATGGAACTCTGCGTATCTAAATTTCCAGGTTTGTTGTTTCCACTACAGTAGTGGCCAAAATTGTGGAAACCTTTTGGGAAAAGTGTATTTTGCAGGTTTGATGGCTAATAAAGCCACTTTTTGGGGGGGGGTTCAAGATAATCCTTTTCCACTGCTGGAACGGCCTGGGAAGAACCCAGACCTTAACCCAATTGAAAATCTATGGAGCCGACTAAAGAAACTGGTTAGTCAGAAGCGATCCAGCAATAAAACCCAGTTAATAGAAGACATCTTCAATCTTGGTTTCACATCATAACAGCTGCAGAACTAAAAAGCTTGGTTCACTCCATGGGAAGATGTTGTAAGGCCATCATTCATGCTAAAGGTTACCCAACTAAGTATTAACTGATATGGGGATCATTTTTGTATATCTCGTTTTTTTCTATGGTCATCATTTTTGTATATCTCATTTTTTCTACGTGTTTCACTTTTCTTCTTTATACTGTAACTGCTATTCTAATAGCAAATCCTTCATAAAAGTGATTGCATTACATTCTTGATTCAATTATCTTTCCATTGATATATAATTTTATGGTACTACTCCAAGAAATAGTGGTGTGATTAGCTAGTTTTAGAAAATACACTTTTCCCAAAAAGGTTCCACAATTTTGGCCACTGCTGTACAGTTTGTTGAGAATTCCTTCCACAGAGTATTATATTCCAGTGTGAAGGATCCCATAATCAGAACAATTATATCCCATTGATTTCTACCTATATGACTGATCCCCTCAAAATATGGGCCGTTGTGTTCGCCCCATGCAATATTCCACATGTTCTGCCTAGCACTAAACCATATCTGCCTCCAAAGGTGATTTTGGAGGATATGCTAAATTTCACTGGAATAAAGAATTACGTCTTTCCACCCACCTGCAAGGAATAGGATTGGGCACTGGACTACTGCAATTGTGCTGATCTCTCGGTTTTTAAAAGAGTTTCTATGTAAACATATAAGTAAGTTTCATGGGTGAACAAGCTGGGTACATTTTTTGCACAAATCATATTTTTCGGAGTATAAGACGCACCGGAGTATAAGACGCACCTTAGTTTTTGGGGAGGAAAATAAGAAAAAAAGCTGATTGGCAGGTGGATCGGCCTCCCGGAATCCCCCAATCAGCTGTTCCCAGAGGTGAATTTTAGGAACAGGTTCCTTGGTTGTGAGCTCTGTGCCTTGCTTTTTTTTGCTTTTTTTCCTGCCTCTGAAACTTCTGGAACTCCGTTTCAAAAAAAAACTTTGTTTTCTGCCTCTGAAAGCCTCTGAAACAGCTTCAGAAAAAAAGCCTCTGAAGCTCTGTTTGGAGGCTTCTTTTCTGAAGTTCTGTTTGGCGGCTTCTTTTTTGAAGCTTTATTTCTGATGCTTTTTCAGCCTCTGAAACCTCCATTTGAGAAGCTGGGCGGGGCTACATTCGGAGTATAAGACGCACCCAGATTTTCACCTTCTTTTTGGGGGGAAAAAGTGCTCTTATACTCTGAAGAATATGGTAAGTTGCATTGGCCAGTGCATTCTGGTACCCACCACATGATGTCCAACCCATCAGATATGGAAAGTGGCCCACCGGGAGCTCACGCAATCTGGGTTTCTCTGTCTAAAAATAGTTAGTCAGGAAGATTCCTAAGGGAAGTAGGAGGAAAGTACACATCCTTGAGCTGACATGACTGGATGGAAGGTAGGTTCCTAAACTTAATTCCATACCACCCACTCATACCTGTAAAAAAATAATAATGATCGTATGATGCATATATCTTGCATTGACAGGATAGCTCTGACACTACGCCCCTCTGATTTTCAACAGTCACCCAATGGCACAAATGATATAGGTAGTCCTCGACTTATGACAATTCATTTAGTGACGTTTAAAGTTACAACGGCACCAAAAAAGTGACTTATGACGTTTTTCACACTTACGCCCATTTCAGCATTTCTGTTGTGGCCCACCGCCGGCCAGCGGAGTTGGCAGCAGAATCGGACAGTGAGGAGGTTGGGGAGGAACTTAGGCCAGTCCTGGGGGATAAGGAAAGCTCGGATGAAGGCTCTGCGTTGGAGGCAGAGAGGGAGTTAGACAGCAGCAAGGCAGAGGAACAGCTGGAGCCCATTCCCAGTGTGCGCATGCGCAGAGCTGCCAGAAGAAAAGACCAATTAAGAAAGCAGGGTCGATTCGGGAGTAGGGCCACACCTTGGAGATAATTGGCCCCTCTCATAGGACATAAAAGAGGAGTGAACGGGACGTGGGCTTTTGCAGGAAGCAATTAGTTCATTTGTTCGATTCAAGATTGGAAAGTTCTGTTCGTGACTCAAATAGACTCTGTTCCGAGTTTGGCCTTGCCCTGCGTTTGGAAATTGGTTCTCTGGCAGCATTCCAAGTGAGATACGGTGGGTGTTGATAAACATTCCTCTGAAAGACTGTTTGCCAAAGCCTTGTTGACTGTGAATGACAGTAATTCACAGTCATTTAAATAAAAGAGGTTTGGCCAAACTTAAGATTTTGCTTCATGCTTTCTAAGGAAGCCTAGGTCCGAACAAAATTCAGACACTTGGCAAGTGGCTCATATTTAGGAATGTCCCAGAGTCATGTGATCACCTTTTGCAAACTTCTGACAATGGGGAAGGGAGATTCACTTAACAACCATCTTCCTAGTTTAACACCTGCAGTGAATTACTTAACCACGGTGACAAGAACAGTCATAAAATGGAGCAAAACAAACATCTCACCCAGCAATAGAAATTTGGGGCTCAATTGTGGTCGTAAGTCGAGGAGTACCTGCATGGAGCTACTTGAATTGCTACAGCAAAACAGCTTATCTACAATGTGAGTTAGCGCGAGGTGTAAAAGCTCACCGCGAGCCCGATTCTGCTAAAATCCCATATTTACCCAGTGATAATGGCATCGTTTTTAAAAAGAATCAGTGCTTGGTATGTATATCCTAACTTTTTTCTTGGTTTTTTTTTTTCTTTTTAGAATTTTTTAATTTTTTTTTTTGTTTGCTTTTTGTTTTTAGGTCTCGCATAATAAAACAAATAGAAACAAGTTTCAGTTTGATCCAGAGCTGTTTCAAAATATACCAGGTAAAAAAGAGCAATATCTTATATAACTTTCTACAGTATATTCACCTGGTTAGATCTGGGGGAGAAACGTGTATTATGCTGGAAGCGGGGAGTGGGGGGAGGAGAGGATAAAATAAATGCATTTTAAAAAAAAAAATCACCATAGGCTATATGTAAAAGCACAAACCTCCCTAACCTCCTAGTAAAATTTACACCACCTATATTCCCTTCTAAGCCCTTGATTAAACAAAGTGAACCGTACCAAGGATGGTAGTATAATTGCTGATTGCATGTATCTCAAAAATGCATTCTCCTTTACTTTATCTTTACTCCTTTGTGTAAAGTTTAAAAGATGTCACCTCCTAGTTGGGAAAGGAACAGGTTAGGCTGGTAATAATATGAAATGTTCAAAAATAATCCCAACTCTTTGTATTAAAGTATGAATGAACCCTTACGGTTTCATAAGCGGGTAGGGGAAAAACAAAATCAAATCGAAGGATGAACTTCCTTCCCGTTTGCGCATTATTATTTTTTTTTTAGTCCTTTTCCGTTAATTCGCTTCATGTTTTCGACTTTACAAAGAACACAGGTGTTTCTCTCCGAGCATGTATCAAAACGAGGCTGTCGTATCATCTAGGTGACAACGATGATCTAAGTTTCCTAATCTATTTGTTTAAAAAAAAAAAATAGAAAGAAACCAGTTTCAATTTGTGGTTATAGTAGTGGATGTGTCTCTAAAGTGGTGTGTTCTCTTGCAGAATAGAAACCTGTGATATAGGATGATGGTTTGATTTTTGCAAAATAAAAAAAGAATGAAGAAGAAGAGGAGGAGGAGGAGGAAGAGGAGAACCTCAACCAAAATGTCAGTTGCCTTCTGTTGGGATAGTTCGATCCGGTCTTAACAATAACGATAACAATAAAGATTTCCCCCACCCCTCTCCCCCCAAGAGCACAAGCCTGTGATTATACATTGCAAAGAAAGAAAACGAATCCTTGCCTATGGGATTTCTCTTTGAAAAGGTCCAACTTCTCCCTCTCCTTCCTTGGTTAGCCGTCGCACAGCATGTGCCATTTCGCAATTTGTCTCCTGGGATATTCGCAGATCTCCTTCCAATGCTCTCCCGCCGTGCCTTCCGCTGAAGCCCCCAAGGTTAACCGGCCGATGATGTCGTTCCGGGAGCCCCTATCTGAATCCAGTACTAAGAATTCGATGCTGATCTCCTCGAGACCCTCGCAGGGAATATCAAAGACAAAGAGTTCGTTGAACACCGCGTTGGGGGTACACTTCTTGACGTGCGTCTTCTTTTTGGAGATCCGTTTCTTGGCATGGTAAAGGTTGACTTTGACATACGGGTCTGAAAGACAATTAACATTCAACGGTTGACTCGGACCGGGGGGGGTCAAAGTCAAGGCCCGGGGGCCGGATCCAGCCCATGGGGTCCTTAGATCTGGTGCACGGGGCTGCCCTAGAAACAGCAAAGGACTGCTCTGTGGTGCCTCTACCAGTGAAAACGGAGCTCGGGAGGGTCACACATGCCCCTCCCCCAAGCTCCATTTCCACTGGCAGAGGGTTGCAGGAGGCTGTTGCAGCCAAAAACAGAGCTGAGGAGCCCATTTTCACTGGCAGAGCACTAGGGCCACCACAAGCGCACCCCGACATGAGTGACATCATGCTGGCCATGCCCACCCTGGCCACACCCACACCCACCGAGGTCAAACACAAACCTGATGCGGCCCTCAATGAAATCGAGTTTGACAGCCCTGACTTAGACTGCCAAAAATAAGGTCAGTTCAGGGATTGGAACTTTCATGTGTCTTCTCTTCCATAGCCCCTTCCATACAGGACTCAAAGTCTTTATCAACAGATAACAGTTAACAGCATAACAGAGTTGGAAGGGACCTTGGAGGCAGAAGTGGGCATCACTTACTGTAACAACCGGTTCATCCAGCACTGGTAATGTGAATGCATGCGTGTTCTGTCCCGTCTCACACATGCACACAAACAGTCAGCCAGGGGTTAAATAAAACTTGCAGACAATAAATTCCTTCGATAACAGGATTGGCAGCAACCCAGTAGCTGCTTGCCAAGAACTTTACTCACAGAGGGAGGTGTTTCTCCTCCGTCCGATAATCAAAACAAATACACAAAGTCAAAGAATTGTCAAATCCAGTCCATATTAAATCCAAAGCAGGCAGATAACGTAGTTTCAGAGATACAATGGGACTCACTAGTTGTTTAGTTTTGTCTGGCCACCACACCCCTTTTATCCCCTGTGGGGTGTGGTCCAGTGACTCAGCTTAATCTCTGGCACGCCTCCTTTTCTGCTGCGTATGCTTGTCTCTCCGACGCTGGCATGGATCCAGCCAAGACTTATCTCCGTCACTGTCCGACTGCGACTGTTCGGAGATACCTGGCTCCTGGCCAATCTCTTCTCCTTCGGGAGACACCTGAGGCATTGCCAGAGAGGAGGGTCCTGGAGAGGGAGGCCTGGCCAACTCCTCTCCTTCACCTTTGGAGTCTTCTCCCTCTGATAAGATGGGCTCGGGGGTTGGAGTCACAACAATGCGTACGGCGCATGTGTGCTGCATCAAACAACATGGCAATTTGCTCATGCGTGCCTTCCGCAATAGCGATATAGGATGGGATTGTGCATGGGTGGGCGGGGCCACCTGCAGGTTGCAACTACCAGTTTGCCCGAACCGGTCTGAACCAGCCGCAGCCCACCACTTCTTGGAGGTCTTCTAGTCCAACCTTATACCATTTCAGACAAATGGTTGTACAAACTCTTCTTAAAAGCCTCCAGTGTTGGAGCCCATCACAACTTCTGGAGGCAAATTCTGAACCCAAGGAAAAATATGCATTGTTATTCTACAGAGCAGCCTTTCTGAACCCTTTTACCATGGAGGAACCCTTGAAATAATGTTCAGGTCTCGGAAATCCATGCATTAAAGTTATTATATCTGCAATTGAGTCATGGCACATAAAAATTCCCATCAGAGCAAGAAACAATGGATGGCAAACTAAGGAGAGAATCAACTGAGAATTAAGGAGAAATTTCCCAAGAGTTAGAACAATTAACCAGTGGAACAGCTTGCCTCCAGAAGTTGTGGGTGCTCCAACATTGGAGGCTTTCAAGAAGAGACTGGACAACCATTTGTCTGAAATGGTATAAGGTCTCCTGCTTGAGTAGGGGGCTGGATTAGAAGATCTCCATGATCTCTTCCAACTCTGTTCCTCTGTTATTCTGTTAACTAGCATTGTATGGCATTCAAAGTTCAAAATCGATGATGATGATGATGATGATGATGATGATGATGATGATGATGATGATTTGACAAATCCTAATCTCTTGGAGAACCCATGGCAATCTTTCATGAATCCCTAAGTTTCCACAGAACCTCAAATGAGAGAGGCTGCAATAGATTGTATTTTGTATAGTAGAGAAGTGGTCTCCAACTGGCCCAGCTGGGAGGGGGGAGAGGGGAACCGGACCACACAAGCGGCAGGACAATGCACACATAGCTTCACTTGCATGAGTGGCAGCTCAGAATATATGCATGCATGTCAACCCCCCTTTCACATGGCCCGATTCCAAATAGGCCATGGCCTGGGGATTGGGGACCCCTGTGGTAGAGCAGACTCTACAACCAGGGGTGGGCTGTGGGGGTTCACAGGGGTTCAGGAGAACCTCTAGCTAAGATTCTGTTGTGGCTCCATTGCCTGAGCCTGGGCTATCGACAGATGCAGATTCTGAGAGTGAGGAAGAGGAGTTGGCAAGGCCTCCCTTTCCAGGACCCTCCTCTCTGGCAATGCCTCCGGAGGACACCGAAGGCCAAAAGATAGGGTCAGAGCCAAGCACGTCCCCGCAGCCACAGGTGGACAGTGACGAAGGAGATATGTGCTGGCTGGACCCTCGCCAGAGGCGCAGGGAGAAGCGTGCGCACAGAGGGGAAGGCGTGCCAGAGATTAGCTGAGTCACTGGACCACACCCCACAGGGTATAAATGTGGGTGTGGTGGCCGGTTCAGTTTGTGACGAGCAAAAACTAGAAATAATCCATGATCTCTGTGTTACTGGACTTTGCCTGCTTTATCGGACTGCATTTGGATTAATCCTTGTATTGTTGAAAACTCTTCCTGTTTTATCGGAATGCTGGCAGTCTAATCTTTGTTTTGTGTGAGTAAAGTCTGAATTGGCAGCTAGCCACTGGGTTGCTGCCAGCTTTATTTTCAAAGAATTTGGTCGTGTGGCTTATTAACGCTGGGCTGTCTGTGGGGGTGCGTGAGTGGAACGGGGACAGAACAGATTCTGTGCAGTTCAGAGAACCCCCCAAATCCCACTCCTGGTGGGCCCCGCCCCACCCACCCCTCCCCTCCCCTCCCAGGAGTCCCCACAGCCTGTTTTGGATGTAGGTAAGTGCAGGGTGCGTGCAGAGGGTCAGGGAGGGCGAAAAATGGGCCTACTGGAAAATTGGGAAGGCCAAGGGCCTCTGGAGCCTGGGGAGGCTGTTTTTGCCCTCCCAGAGGCTCAAAGGAAGCCTCGGAGCCGGGGAGGGCAAAAACACTTCCCCTGGCTGTGGTGCAGTAGGCTGACTAGGCCCACACCCACCCAGCAACCGGGCAGAGATCCCCTTGCTAAAATTGCTGAAGCCCACTCCTCCCTACAACATCTCTAAGGGTGTTTGGCAGCCCCCATATTTTCTAGGTCTGAATCAGTGGTGGGTTGCCCCCGGTTTGGACCGGTTTGCAAGAACCATTAATAAAACTGATGGGAGGCTCGCCCACTGACCCGGACATCATCATACGTAGTCTGCACATGTGCAGAAGCTTCTACGCATGCACGTACGCGATGCGAACCGGTAGTAAAGATAAGTAAGAACCCACCCCTGGTCTGAATGGTTATTGCGAATAACTCTGGAAATGAGAGCATATAGGCAGAGCCAACATAGAACAATAATGCATGTGGATGATCTAGAACGGTTTTCATAATTCATGTCACATTTTATCTTCTCCCACAGAGGCATAAAATATTGTTGTGTTCACACTTAACCTGGTTTTAGTGTGAATTTATCACTCTGGGAATTAGAGTAGGCTTACAGTATAACGCCACCCAAAATAAATTCATAAATCTGCCCTTTTCAAAAGCAGCTCTTTTTTTTAACAAAAAAAACAACAAGAAAACAAGGATAGTTCCTATCTACAGAAAATCATTTGCTTCTCTGTTATTTGTAAATTTCTAGGTTCAACCTGCCCTTGTCCTCACCAGCTGAGAATCCATCAATGTCATTGCATGTGGTCTCCTTTTCAAATTACCTGATAATCCCGAAACATCAGCCTTAGGTAGATGCCTCGCCTTTAAAACAACCACTGTCAGCGTATTTGTTGTAGACTGATAACAAAGTGAGATCAGCAATTCACCACGTCCAGAAGACTTCTGCAGAATTAAAAAGATACGTTCGTTAATTGTAATGCTTAGAGCTACTTCAAATCCAGAGATTGACAGATTTGCAATATTCCGATTTGTAAACTGACTTTGTCATTAGCAACAAAATATTTCTAGTTTGGAGAATGGATGGATGGATTTATCTCCATCTGTTTGTCTCTCTGTGTCTCTGAGCCTGCCTGTCTGTCTGTCTGTCTGTCTGTCCATCCATCCATCTATCAGCCCTATCTATCTATCTATCTATCTATCTATCTATCTATCTATCTATCATCTATCTATCTATCTATCTATCTATCTATCTATCTATCTATCCATCCATCTATCTATTCATTCATCCATCCATCCATCTATCCATCTATCTATGTGTCTGTCTGTCTGTCCATCCATCCATCCATCCATCCATCCATCCATCATCCATCCATCCATCCATCTAGCCCTATCTATCTATCCATCCATCCATCCATCTATCCATCTATCTATGTGTCTATCTATCCATCTATCTATGTGTCTATCTATCCATCCATCCATATCTATCTATCTATCTATCTATCTATCTATCTATCTATCTATCTATCTATCATCTGCCTATCTGCCTGCCTACCATCATCCATCCATCCATCTCTATCTATCTATCTATCTATCTATCTATCTATCTATCTATCTATCATCTATCTATCTATCTATCTATCTATCTATCTATCTATCTATCCATCCATCTATCTATTCATTCATCCATCCATCCATCTATCCATCTATCTATGTGTCTGTCTTGTTTGTCCATCATCCATCCATCCATCCATCCATCCATCCATCCATCCATCCATCTAGCCCTATCTATCTATCCATCCATCATCCATCTATCTATCCATCTATCTATGTGTCTATCTATCCATCTATCTATGTGTCTATCTATCCATCCATCATCCATTTCTTTCTATCTATTATCTATCTATCTATCTATCTATCTATCTATCTATCTATCTATCTATCATTGCCTATCTGCCTGCCTACCATCCATCCATCCATCCATCTCTATCTATCTATCTATCTATCTATCTATCTATCTATCTATCTATCTATCTATCTATCTATGTCTCTGTCTGTCTGTCTGTCTGTCTGTCTGTCTGTCTGTCTGTCTGTCTCTATCTCTATCTCTATCTCTTCCTATTTTTGTTTGTTTGTTTGTATCCCACCTTTATTATTTTTACAAACAACCCAAAGTGATAATCATGGGTCTGATCCTCTAGAAACCAAGATGTGTTAATCTACAACTGAAACCAAAGGAACAAGCTAGTTCTAGTAAATCTGGCCCAATTAAGTTAATGTATCTCCATCTCCCTTTTTTGATTACTAGACATAACACATGAACACTTGAGAAACCATGACCAATCTGGAATTGATTTCAAACCATGGATTGGGTCAATCAGTCCTTTCTTCCTGATACTGCTTTTATTTTAAGCACAATTTGTTGAATAAGCTACCACGATTGGGTTCACATAGTATGCAATGTCATAATTTTGCAATTCAACATTTTTGAACGACCGTAGCTGGCTTTAGAGAACTTGCCAAGTCATATTTAAGCCATGTTTTATTTGAGAGAGATGTTTGAAGCAAACCAGGCCCTCCTCAGTTGGATGACAGCTGAAGTAGCTCTGTGTCAGGGGTGGGTTCTAAATTTTTTTACTACCGGTTCTGTGGGCGTGGCTTATTTTGTGGGTGTGGCTTGGAGGTCATGTGACTAGGTGGGCGTGGCTAGCTGGTCAGAGTCATTTCTGGAAGGTCCTCGCACTTACGACCAGTCCTTGCACTTACGATCTGACTCATTTGTTTGCTTTTAACACTGATCAGCTGTAGGGCGGCCCTTTGAAGCCCCGCGGCAAGAGTTTAAACAGTTTTTTCCCTCTAGTCATCAGCTGGGACTCAGGAGACAGCAATAGATTGGGGGTGGGACCAAATAAAAGGTAAGAATAACGTGGGGGGGTTGGGAGGGTGGGGGGGGCGGGGGGGAACCGGTTTGGTGACGTCATATCGTCACCGCTACCGGCTCGGCCGAACCGGACCGAACCGGGAGGAACCCACCACTGCTCTCTCTCTCTCTCTCTCTCTCTCTCTCTCTCTGTGTGTGTATGTGTGTGTGTGTGTGTGTATGGAGGGAACCTTTCTATAATAGTGTGCATGTAGGAGACGAGCAGACTGAGCAAGAAGGTGGGGTTAAGTGCATCATCAGTTTGGAATCATTGTGCAGCCACAAGAAATCCAAGTCTCACCCCTGTGAATTCTATAAACCCTTATCGAATTTTGAACGATCATTAAGCAAATGGTTGTAACTCGAAAACTACCTGTTCTGACCTTTAGATTTCACCAGATGGCTATGATGCATCATTTAACTTTGAATACTCACTCATATTTTATATATTTGAGCCACCTTTAACTCCTTTCACTTACTTAACTGCGATATAATTCTGAAACTCCCTAAATCAGACAGAAAACTGTTACCTGAAACTCATATTTCAAAACATTGACAATATCACTCGGTGAGTGAGCCAATACCATCCTAGGCCGCATGAATAGAGGGATACTGTAGAACCAAGATCACATGAAGCATTAATGCTGCTTTATAAAGCCTTAGTAAGATCACACCAGGAATACTGCATCCAGTTTTGGCCACATTGCAAAAAAAGATGTTGAGACCAGGGGTGAAATCTAAAATTTGTTACTACCGGTTCTGTGGGTGTGGCTTGGTGGGGGGGGGGTAATGTGACTGGGTGGGTGTGGCCAATTGTTTTTTAACTTTTAAAACCATTTTTGTACAACCTCTTTGGTGAAGAGGTTGTAAAAAATGCTTTCAAATGGCTCTGACGATCCCAGCTGAGTTGCCTGATTGTCACCCTCTGCCGATCAGGCAACTCAGCTGAGATCATCAGAGCTTGGATCGTCAGAGGCATTTAAAAGAAAACAAACTTTTTTTTCTTTTAAATGGCTCTGACGATCCCAGCTGAGTTGCCTGATTGCTGATCAGGCAACTCAGCTGGGATTGTCAGAGCTTGGATCGTCAGAGGCATTTAAAAAAATGACTCTGACGATCCAAGATGAGTTGCCTTGATCAGCAGAGGGTTAAAAACCCTTGGATTTTTGGATCGTCAGAGCCATTTAAAAGAAAAAAAGCCTCTGATGATCGCACGGCTCAGCTGGGCATGGGGGGGGGGGCAGGGATTTTTGCTACTGGTTCTCCGAACCACCCGCCTCCATCGCTACCGGATCGGGTGATCCGGTCCGAACTGGGAGCATTTCACCCCTGGTTGAGACTCTGTAAAGAGTGCAGAGAAGAGCAATAAGAATGATTAGGGGGCTGGAGGAATTGGATACGCCTACTCTAGTGAAAAGAAGGACAAGGGGAGACATGATAGCAGTGTTCCAATATTTGAGGGACTGCTACAAAGAAGAGGGGGGTCAATCTATTCTCCAAAATACCAGAAGGAAGGACAAGAAGCAATGAATGGAAACTAAACAGGGAGGGAAGAAATCTAGAACTTAGTTCCTGACAGAGAGAACGATTAATAAGTGGAACAGTTTACCTCCAGAAATTGTGTGTGTTTGTCTGAAATGGTATAGGCCAAGTTCTCCTGCTTGGTGGAATTCAAATTTTTTTACTACTAGTTCTATGGGCGTGGCTTGGTGGGTGTGGTGTGACTTGGTGGGCGTGGCTTTGTGGGCATGGCAGAGGAAGGATACTGCTAAATCTCCATTCCCACCCCCACTCTGGAGCCAGCCAAAGGTGGTATTTGCCGGTTCTCCGAACTACTCAAAATTTCCGCTACCGGTTCTCCAGAACCTGTCAGAACCTGCTGAATAGCACCCCTGGGTTGGACTAGAAGAATTCCAGGGTCTCTTCCTCCTGTCTTATTCTGCTGTTCTGTTGTCTTGAGAAAATGAAATGATAACTTCAAACCCTCCATTACAGAACAAAACATCGGAACCAATCTCTCCAAATGTCATCGCAAATAATAGGCGATGAATTAACATGTCAATGGACCCAAGAAAATATCAGCTACAAATCAGATTTTACAGAAAATAATATGGTCACCTTGTGGGAACAAAATATATAAGCCGGGAAATGTAAGCCAAACAAGCTTCATCTCTTCAGGTCAGAAATGGATTAAAAGCCATAAAACACTCTAGATGGGAATATTGTTTGCTACACATCGAAGCAATTTGATTTGATGCTTGATCTTTTGAAAGCAATTATCCCAAAGTCAATATACTGGCAGGTCCTCAAGTCGGGATATTGGTTGCCTGAGCTTTGAAACATGTATTAGATTTGGAATTTTAATAGGAAATGGGCTGCCACTTAAAGCTGAAGATATTTCCAAGCTGATTTGCAACCTTGATATCAAAGATATTGATCTGGTCATAAACCATGTGCAATTCAGTGGGGCAAAGAAAATATTTAGAATTGGAGCCAGAACTCCTGATGATAATAATAAAACCGATGCCTGCATCTTTTAGGATGCTGCTTCTTTTGATTGGCCAATTGAAGTTTAATGGACTACTGGGAATTTGTGCTAGAGAATTAGCAGATTCTATTGATTGTATCCATGGCAATAATAGGCAATATTCAAAGCCATTACAATCAAAGTTTTTGTCATTGGATTTACTGGAAGGCAGAATATGCTGTATTGATTGATTGATTGATTGATTGATTGATGACAATATTTGTAGCTCAGGGTTGACCTGCAGGATACTTGGTGTTGTTTTTTTCCAAACATTTCATTACCCATCTAGGTAACATCATCAGTGCTAGAAGGGAGTGGTGTTTGCTCTCATTTATATATTAGTTTTATATAGTCCACTATTGATGAAGACAATGTATCGATACTAATTTTTGTCCGAGGATGTTTTTGAGATGCCGAACAGGAGTGGGCTGCGGGAAGTTCGCAGGGGTTTGGGAGAACCTCTAGCTAAGATTCTGTGAAGTTCGGAGAACCCCCAAA